GGTATACCGTTCCCCATAGTGACCCCTAGAGGACGCAGTTCGAAGTTCCCATGAAAGGGAACATCTCAGGTTACTTATGTAACCATGGTTCCCTGAATAGGGAACGAGACACTGAACGAGTTGGTGTTTTATCAATGTATGCTTCAGACACGGGTCACGACGAGGCGTTCCCCATAGCGACCCCTAGAGGACGCAGTGTCTCGTTCCCTACTCAGGGAACCATGGTTACATAAGTAACCTGAGACGTTTTCTTTTGTGTGTTTCTTTCTTCTTTGGCTCTAATTGCTTACAGGTGGAGTTGTTCACTAGGATGGATTCGATTGGCGACAGGAGGGATTGCCTCAGTATTTAAGCCTCTAGAATGGAATCTCCGGCTCCTCCATTGTCAAAGTTTTTTTCTACTGTGTAATGAGTGATTGTGAAAGAATCGCTAAAAGATACATTTGTTGTTATCTGTTGAATTAAGTGAATTACTAAGTTATGATTCATGATAGTTACGTTCGGCTCCTTTCTTCCTGACCATAGTTAACTTGGAGCATGGTAGGGAGGTGGGCGCCTGTTTGTTTTGTTCATTTTCTCTTGTTTATGTTAGCAGGGAGGGAAGATTTTGTATACTAGGGTACAACGGGGCTAAAGGCGCCCCGGGGTAAAAGGTGCCTTTGATATTATTTTCCCCTAAACCACTAGATGGCGTAGCACTTTCCAAAACATTTGTTCCCCTTCAGGAACTCGAGCTGCGTCGAAAAAGCTATGGGAGCGCCTTCAGCGTGACAACGCTCTGAATCACGTGTGTAATCAGTCCAATGGATGGGCGAGATATCATGAGCGGGGTGACGTAGCGACCCGGGAAGCTTAAAGCACGTGCGGTGGATACATTTCTGACATTCAGCAAGCACTCTGTGTGTGTGTCAGTACTCTGTGTCTTGTCAGTCATATTTACTGTTGTTTGTCTGCCATCGATTCAGTAACAAAATGCCAAAAGCCAAAGACAAGCATAAGGGTGAGAGCAGGCAGCATTATAGGCTGTGTGTTCCTCCCTGCCCGCGTTATATTACGGGTGGGGATACACACAGTCTGTGTGTTGTCTGCTTGTGGGCGAAGCATGCAGAGTCAGCTCTCGAGGGAGCGGGTCAGGCTGGTGCTTGCTTGCACACTATGGCGGTGTTGCAAGCATAACAAGCTGACCTGCTGAAAGAGCTGGATGAGGGCGAGGAAGTTAAGTTTGAGCATATCACCGAACTCAGACGAACCGAAGCTCTGTCTTTCCGTGCCATCAATGAGACCGTCCCCACTATCAGCAGGTCCATGGCAGCACTGGAGGCCACTTTTGCTAATTTAACAACGGGAAAAACGGTTGGTACGCCCAGCACATGGTCTAAAAGGGTTGTCCCTATTCTCTTAATGAGCAATGGGTGTGTTTTGGTCATAACGTGCAATAAACCAATCAGAGTCTCATCTCCCATTCCCTTTAAGAGTCAGTTGCGCTCATGCCATGGCAGATTTGCTATTTACACGGCAAAATTTGCAAGCGCAAAGACAGAACAGAGATGTTCTCCAGAGATGAAACGGAGCTGCTCGTGCGCGAGCAAATAGGTAGCCTAATTCTGATACATGCAATGACTATCCATTATGACATGTAGGCAATTTTATATTTTTGTAGCCTACACAATAATAATCTTTTACAGTGCAATCCTTTAATTTTTAATATTTGGCATGTTTGTGTGCTGCTGTGCATCCCTGTGTGTGTAATAAGCAGATTGTAAAAAAACTACTGCGCCATTGACTTTAGACCAGGTTTTTGATAATCAATGGTGCAGTCTATTTCAGTTGCCTCAAAATAGCAACGCGCCAGCAATGCGCCTGAACACACATCGTTTTCAGACCAGCACGCCCATGGGCGCACAAATGGGCGCAAATGGATTTTCTATTTAAACAACGTGACGCAGGACATGAAAATAACAACTGCGTCGGGCTGAAACTAGCAAAAAACATGTGCATCGCGCCTGGTGCCGCATTGCGCCGGGTGTATGATAGGGCCCTATGTGTGTATAATATTATATTATATATTTTGTTGTTGCTGTCACTTTAACGTTTAATGCATGGATCCTATATTACCTATTCAATGGCAACCACACTGCCTATTACTGTCACTATCTTATTACGTTCCCTTCATCTCTTTCACTATGCTCCAAACAATACCCAGCTGCAGAGACAGGCATGCATGTTGCAGACCAATTAGAACAAAGGGGATTATCTTAAAATAAACACACATAATGGTCTGTGAGAACCCTTCGTGGATCATAAAGACAAGAGATAAAATAGCTCCTTTAGTGGCAGACCCTTTTACTGTTTTTAGTGGTATGAATGCATCCGAGACAGAAAAAGATACGTATTTCATAAAATATTTATAGGTGGTCTAGCAGGTGAACAAGAAGCAACATAAGGACCACATGAAATTTTGAATGTCACTCAACAGATTAACACGTAATCAGAAATGGGGTTTAGCAATTGCGTTTTGTGCTTTGTAAACATGATGAAAATCAGTTGATCGGAAAACAGTCAAATTTTTTTATCTGTCTGTTGTTTGTTTTGAAGTTGCACAGATCTGTTGATGAACTGTCACAGCGCAGAACTGGTAAAGCCAGTAGTGTCACAGCCCAACCCACATCAAATGCGTCAAATCTGAGTCATTGTGAAAAAAGCAACTATCAATAAAATTGTATTACATAGCCTATTTATTTATTTTTAGCCAAGCCAAGATTTGAGTTTTTAAAAAACAAAAATAATAAAATAAATTAAATAAAATAGCTTTTGTGCCGTTTTATATAAAGAAAAGTCTTTCATTTTAAATCAGCTGTAATTGTAGTTTGTAAGTTAATTCAGTCTTATGGGATTGATTTCCCCTGCAATTCTGTTCAAAAAATTGACTGGTTATACCCCACTAGCAGATAATAAACATAATACCTGGTGAAACATGGAATGGTCAGATTGCAGCGTTCTGCTCAATTTCAGAGGATCAAAGTGATTTTGTGACTTTCATATATTTAGTGCTTTGGTCCTCACATATTGAAACTCTGTTATTTACTGTAGTTACGCCTATCTTGGTGATAAAGGCTTTGCTTCAAAAGGCCTTTAGTTCGACAACAAAAGGGGCCCTTGCTGGCCCCGTCTGAACACGTCACTGAAGCCAGCCTATATATATAACATCCATGCCCTCACATGGTGTTGGCAAAAGTAGCCTACAATCAATACTTTATACAAACATGTTTTAAAGTGTTGAGCATTATAACTATTCACAGAAATTTCTGTTGAGCATTTAGAGGTGTTTAAGTTCCACAGAGTCCACACAGAGAGGAAGCCATCCTGCTTTATCTTTTACATTTCCTAGAACTCGAGAAAATTGTAGGGCTCCAAAAAAAAAAAGTTCCTTGTACTGCAGGTGCGTAGAGCCAGTAGGATATTTGAAAATGAGCAAATGGAGCACTGAAGATAGCAATGTGCTGAAACGTTTGCTTGCTTGCTCGTGCCCATTTGTTTTTAATTCACATGCACTTTGCACTTTTGCACAATGCAATTTATAAAAATTAAAAATGTTTTTGTAGACTTTTTAGTCTTGAGTGGATCAGTGTGCAGTTAGCCACCCTCTTGCTCACTTTCTTTTACATTTCCTAACATAAATTCCTTCAAAGTGAGACCTATTTGGAGAAGCTGTACTGTAGTGAATGTGGACCTGATCCTGTGCAACAGGTTAAGGGCAGGTTCCCATAGTGAGATGTCAGATGAGTCCTCAGAAAAAGAACTAAATGTCTTTCAGAGGTGCCAAAGGCTGCATTTAATTACTTTGCTACACACATACACAGTAAAAAAATAAAAAATAAAATAAATAAGGTGAACGCACACCCCCGTTTTCAAGAGACATTAACTGGTTTTGATGGTCTGTCATCAGATTATTATTATTATTTTAACTGTACATTCCAAAACAGTCCACAACGTGAAATAAAATCGAAAAATAGCACTTTCTATTCGATTTTAATTCTACTTTATTTATTTTTTTATAAATTTAAACACTAGCTTTCTATTTTTTCTATTCTATCTACTTGTTTTTCTTTGTGTGTGTGTGTGTGTGTGTATATATATATAATATATATATATACACATACCTTGCTACACTGCCTTAGGCTAGCTGAGACTTGTCATTTGCACTTTTATATTGTTGCCCTTAGTTTTGACTGCTTTTATTGTCCTCATTTGTAAGTCGCTTTGGATAAAAGCGTCTGCTAAATGACTAAATGTAAAAAGGAAGAACGTGTGTGCAGCATAGGCTGCACTTCACAGCGTGGTGTAACTAATTGTGGGTGCAGCTCAACCTTCAATACACGTTATCATTCCGATTCTCTTCTATTTATTACTCACATTGGTTCTACCATAAATCATTAATAGGACAAAAATATAATATTTTATTTAGACGCCTACCTTTACTTTAACAAAGAAGTGGGGCTGGCTGGTACGTGAAGTGAAGTGAAACATGGCACGCTGAGGACCTCTGCTGTATGTAGCCTATGTATACCCACTGAAAGCTTCTGTTACCAAGCTAAATTCCCTCTGTATATAATAGAATTATTTTATATTTAAATGAATTATATTTCGACTCGATTATGTTAGATCCACATATTTAAAGGTGCTGCGATGTTAGCCATACATGAATGTCTACCAGAGCTTAACTCAGAAACATTCCACATGTACCTTTTGTTCACAAAGAAGTCAGACAGCACTACAAAATGGCTAACATTCCATTTAGTGTATTGGAAACGGAGTGTTAGTTTGTGTTGAAGATGTTTTATCCATCATCATAATAACCACTCTGTCTTTGGTAGAGCATTTATCAGAAGGACTGGTATGATGGGCCCAAATGAATTTTCCAACATATTAAAGCTGTAAAGCTCTGTATTGTATATACCAACAATTAAGGATAGGCTACAATAATGTTCTCATTAGTATTGAATTGTTTTATTAAATTATAGTTTTTAGCTACACAGTCTTAAAACATTCATTGTGATTTGTACATACATATGTCATCAGGTGCAATATGTTATTTTAGATAAAGTACATTAAGTGTGAATAAAGAAGTGATCAACACATTCTAAATTTTTTCCCTTAACATTAAATACATACTACCAAACAAATCTTTCATTTAGAAAACAAGATTCTCATTACTTTACATAACAGTTTTTTAAATAAATAAAATCATTCCTTAAATAGTAGATGTTGTTTTTTTTAATCACAGTTACATCACATTTAGAGAGGTTCTGTATGCCCAGCAATACAGGAAAATTAATATTTTAAGCATCAAAGTTTGTTCTTGAATACCTCTAGAAGATGCTGTTTCGAGTTGTGTACTGTACATTGTATGATCGTCTTCTGTGCCAACGTTTTCTGATTGCTGCACAGCAACCACACAGCAAACACTAAACACATCAACAGACAAAGTGAGAGTTAGCATCATGGAAGGGAATTTTATACAGTTAAAAACACTTTTAATCAGCTGTACATTATAAACATTATATATATATATATATATACAGTGGTGTGAAAAAGTGTTGGCCCCCTCCAGAAAGGGGGCCAACACTTTTTCACACCACTGTATATATATATATATAAGTTATAATTTTAGAATATAAAGGCAAATTTAAGTCTGATAAGACAAAAGAGTAACAATTGCATGTTGTCATTCCAATGCACATATTATGTACAGTTTATAAACGGGGGTGTGCGTTCACCTTATTTATTTTATTTTTTATTTTTTTACTGTGTATGTGTGTAGCAAAGTAATTAAATGCAGCCTTTGGCACCTCCTAATACTTACGCAAAGGAGAATCCAGCAAGGTACGAGCCCGATGACAATAGCGCAGGGGACAATGATAGCCACAATCCATGCTACGTTTGTACTGTTGTTTAAGATTGTACTGGTCAGGACTGTGGGGTAATAGGTGGTTGGAGTGGCTGTTGTAGTAAGTCCGAGGAAAGCAGAGACCAAGCCGAAACTGTCGATGTCACTGTCTGTGAAAACATACTGTACGTTGGCCTCAATCACGGAGGAGTTACCCCTGTGGAGAAAATGTACAATGAGAAATGAAGCAAAATAAATAAACTGATCTTTCCTTCCCTCACCCAAAACTACTCAATGATGACAGCAGATCTCTTGAAATCATTTAAAACACTGCTTAAAAAAATAAATAATACTGAGCCAGAACTTACTTGAAATTGATTTGATTGAAATTAAAGTAAGTAGTTGTTGTTTTATTCAGGATCTTGGACACCTGAAAAGCAGAAATACATTTAATTGATTAATTTGTTTATGGCTAATGTGACCGAAATAAAGCAATTTCTCTATTCTCAATTTCTCAGTATCTGTAACTCACAAATGTATTTATATAGTCCTGAATCACTGTGAAGGTCTCATTCCTGAATTCAACTCTTTCAGACATGGACACATTGCTGATTTCAAATCCAAAGTTCAGAGAGAAGGAGTTGTCATCAATTTCTTTAGGGGGAAAAAATAAATAAAATAAACAAAACGACAATTAGTTATGGTGTGGTTATATGTGGATGATAAAATTTCACTCATCCATTCAGGGATTACTGATTTAACCATTTTCCTTCAAAGGAAAAACTTACTACATAATAGTACACCATTTGCATTCAAATGTTATGTGCACAACAAAAAAGGCAGGAGAGAAAAACTAACTTGTATAGGTGACATTCACAAAGTTCACAAGCTTAGTCAGATCTTTTGTTGTGAGGGATCGTTTCATTCTCAGTTTCATTCCAGACAACAGGGTGTTAGCCACATTTACAACGTTACTCTCACTTGGGATAGTACCCCGTGTTTTAAACACAAGGCTGATGTATATGATCACCTTCCCAAGCCTGCAAAAGATTGTACATTTATTTATTTGGAAGATTTATTCCATGTTACCATCTATTTTCAAAAGATAATAGAGAAGAATGCAAAGAGAAAATGAATTATTGCTCTTACACGTTTGGTGGAGATGTGCTTATTGTCAGAGTACTGGCTGTCGTTAAGTCTGTAAAAAAGTAATGATTAGTGGAGAATAATCTTTAAATCAAAGTATTCAGTGTTTATGGAGCATATAAAATGTGACATTGCATGTGTGGATGTGGTAATACCTTCCTTAGCTTTGAACATTTCCTTGACAAAGGGGCTGTTTATGCTCAAGTCACTTTCTGAGAAAACATACTGAACACTGGCCAGAATCACTGTGCTATTACCACTGTGTGGAGATTCAAATGTGCAATGAGGAACAGAAGTAGCTGTCTAAAAACCTCATCTACTCATACTAAAAACGAATCAATGTTAAAAGCAGATTTTGTACAATCATTAAGACATTTCTTCAGATTCAGAACTTACTCGAATGCAATGTGTTGCAGATCAAACTGAGAAGCTGAGGGATCCTTTAGGATGTCGACAAGCTGGAGAGTGGAGAAATAAATACAGAGATTAATGTGTTTATTAATGTTCAAGTTAATGTGATTAGAATAAGGCATATTCATTTTTCACAGGAAGTTTCTGTGAGGAACCATTAAAGCAAAGTGTCTCAATCTCACCAATTTATTTATAGTGCTTTTGATTGAAGTATAGGTTTCATTCCTTAGTTCACGTTTCTCAGACATGGATATATTAGTGATTTCAAATTCAAATGTGAGAGCATAGGAGGTTTCATTAAGTTCTTAAAACACAGAAGAAAAATTATTAGTTGTGTGGTTATATGTGACTGATTACATTTTCTTTAAAAGCAAGCTACTACAGGTCTACACAATAAAATTCATTTGCATTCAAATTACATATTCAGAACAAAAAGGAGCTTAAAGAGGAGAGAAAAACTCACTTGTATAGCCGATATCCACAAGGCTCGTACCCTGGGTTGGTGGTGCGTCTACTTTAGTTCTGTAACGTGGGTTGAGCGTAGAGCTGGCCAGGTTTATAATGTAATCCTTACTAGGGATTGGGCCCAGTGTGTGAAACACCAATCGAATATTTATGTAAGCCTTCCCCAACCTACCAAAGATGATGAAATAACAGTAATATAAAGACAGATTCAGAAAATAACTGGCTTTTACAAAATGACACTGGAATCATGGCTCTTACAATGTTTGTGGAGAAGTTATGCTTGATGTCAGAGTACTGGCTGTTGTTAAGACTGTAAAATAAAGTAATGATTAGTGGAGAATAATCTTTAAAGTAGTGCTTTAAATCAAAGTATTCAGTGTTCATGGAGCATATAAAAATGTGACATTGCATGTGTGGATGTGGTAATACCTTCCTTAGCTTTGAACATTTCCTTGACAAAGGCGCTGTTTATGCTCAAGTCACTTTCTGAGAAAACATACTGAACACTGGCCAGAATCACTGTGCTATTACCACTGTGTGGAGATTCAAATGTGCAATGAGGAACAGAAGTAGCTGTCTAAAAACCTCATCTACTCATACTAAAAACGAATCAATGTTAAAAGCAGATTTTGTACAATCATTAAGACATTTCTTCAGATTCAGAACTTACTCGAATGCAATGTGTTGCAGATCAAACTGAGAAGCTGAGGGATCCTTTAGGATGTCGACAAGCTGGAGAGTGGAGAAATAAATGCAGAGATTAATGTGTTTAAAGTTAATGTGATTAGAATAAGGCATATTCATTTTCACAGGAAGTTTCTGTGAGGAACCATTAAAGCAAAGTGTGTCAATCTCACCAATTTATTTATAGTGCTTTTGATTGAAGTATAGGTTTCATTCCTTAGTTCACGTTTCTCAGACATGGATATATTAGTGATTTCAAATCCAAATGTGAGAGCATAGGAGGTTTCATTAAGTTCTTAAAACACAGAAGAAAAATTATTAGTTGTGTGGTTATATGTGACTGATTACATTTTCTTTAAAAGCAAGCTACTATAGGTCTACACAATAAAATTCATTTGCATTCAAATTAAATATTCAGAACAAAAAGGAGCTTAAAGAGGAGAGAAAAACTCACTTGTATAGCCGATATCCACAAGGCTCGTACCCTGGGTTGGTGGTGCGACTACTTTAGTTCTGTAACGTGGGTTGAGCGTAGAGCTGGCCAAGTTTATAATGTAATCCTTACTAGGGATTGGGCCCAGTGTGTGAAACACCAATCGAATATTTATGTAAGCCTTCCCCAACCTACCAAAGATGATGAAATAACAGTAATATAAAGACAGATTCAGAAAATAACTGGCTTTTACAAAATGACACTGGAATCATGGCTCTTACAATGTTTGTGGAGAAGTTATGCTTGATGTCAGAGTACTGGCTGTTGTTAAGACTGTAAAATAAAGTAATGATTAGTCAAGAAGGATTGCAGTTACAGTATTTGGTGTTGATGGAGCAACACATTTAAAACAAAATCTTAAGTAATGTTTGATTTTCAGTTTTGACAAACCTGTCAATGAACTAAGCGCCTGTAGGAATTTGACTGGTTTTATGACATCTGCATCTTGGAAGTTGTACTCCATACTGCCCTCAATCTGATTGAATGTACTCCTAGAGAAAAACAACAATATACAGCATCTGTTGCACACCGTATCAGGACATCAATGCATATTCACAGAACAATCACAGAGAATTTTCTTGGAAATTTATTTTTTTATTTTCATATATTTTCATGTGGGGAAAAAAAAAGCAGATTATGACAGACTGCATCTTACTTGAAGTTGGATGAAATGGGTTGTAAAGCTGGACTGCTAGGTTCGTTCAGAAGAGTGTTTAGCTGCAGGTAAAAACTCAAATCATGAATCAAACTGAACTGAATACTGGATCCCTCTGTGAATATTTGCATGGGGTCTACACATTTAAATTAGTAATTGGTGAATGCTTACCGCTTTATTGATTGTATCCTGTACTTGCAGGTAGATGTTGTTTCTGAGTCCAGAGTCCCTTGGCATGCTGAGGCCACTCATATAAAATTTTAAAATGACAGCATAGGAAGATTCCGAAACTTCTGTTTAGAAAGAAATGGTTATTTTTGATTGGGTGAAAATTTGACATTCATTGCTGTTTTGCTCATATCCATTTAAAACACTTCTACAGGTGCATCTCAATAAATTAGAATGTCGTGGAAAAGTTCATTTATTTCAGTAATTCAACTCAAATTGTGAAACTCGTGTAGTAAATAAATTCAATGCACACAGACTGAAGTAGTTTAAGTCTTTGGTTCTTTTAATTGATGATTTTGGCTCACATTTAACAAAAACCCACCAATTCACTATCTCAACAAATTAGAATACTTTATAAGACCAATAAAAATAAAACATTTTTAGTGAATTGTTGGCCTTCTGGAAAGTATGTTCATTTACTGTACATGTACTCAATACTTGGTAGGGGCTCCCTTTGCTTTAATTACTGCCTCAATTCGGCGTGGCTGGAGGTGATTCAGTTTGTGGCACTGCTGAGGTGGTATGGAAGCCCAGGTTTCTTTGACAGTGGCCTTCAGCTCATCTGCATTTTT